GCTTCCCACCCAAAGCAACTTGTCCCCACGTTGATTGGGATTAGGTCCTCTTCCTTGTGGTTGTGGGGGAGGGTTTGTGGGCTAGGGGCTTATTGAAATCTGGAAGACCCTTTTAAAAAGGGGGCCCTCAGATCCTGGCCCCTCCATATGAATGAGTAGCGGTACATAGTACTCATTCACTAAAAAATTGTGAATTGTAAATAAAGACAGTGGAAAGTTTTTGAAAACAAAAACAACAACAAAAACAATGTCCCCCCGAAGTAAATCCAGCATCAATCAAGATGAACACCAGCACCTAAGGGTCTGGTATGAATTTTTTTTTTTTAGGGGGGGGGGGGTTCCTGTGCCATTTTTGGCATGGGGTTTTCTTTAAAATCCTTACAGACCTCAAGGGCCTGGTAGGGATTGGGGGGACCCCCACGCTGATATTTAAAAATAATTTCTAAAGTTGTGGTTGCTGCCTGCTCCTTAACAACAAGCTATTCACAAATCAATTCAGATCATTCATCACTTTGGATGTTTTAAACAACCAAATGAAACAAATGAATCAACATAAGGTGCATGGTGTCGCTGGTAAATGGAAAGCAGTTTCCAATGCTGATAGCTGAAAAACGGGAGTGTGGATAGACTTCAGACATGGTGCTATGCATTTATCAATGTACATGGGTTCTACAACTGTTTACGTTAGGGGGGAGAGTCTGAGTGACACCATGAGGCACTACATGTATTCAGCATAATATACATAACATGGACCTATGTATCTCACTCATCTCGTGTTCTTCAATCTCAGGTGACCGCAAGTCTTGTGATGCACAAGTCCCCCCCCCCCCCCCCCCCCAGGTGCCATTTAGCATCTGTTTATGTGAGTGGCGATCTTAAGTTTTAAATAAATTGCTGGGTTTATACAGATAAGAATAAAATAAAACACAATGATCGCTCCCAATGAAGCAGCTATTGCACTAAGGTAACCAGAAAAAACCTCTGCCAAAATGTAAACAAGGAGTGCAGCGCTAAAGTAAAAATGAAGGCTAAATCGATAAAATAAATGAATAATAAATAAAATTTAAATTTAAAAGGTGGTGCTTTGAAGATTTAGTAAAAATGCGCACTCACCAGATGCGCATTGAATATGCGCATATAAATATATCCAACACGGTCCACTTTAGGGAAAGGGATATGCCAGGCATGTCGGAAACTTCCTTCAGGGACTGAGCATGGCACGGAGCAGCACACAGAGCCTTCTTATGAGCCTGGCCCATTCAAGCACCCAGAGGAGGTAATCCCTGTAACACAGGCTGCAGACCCATCCATCCTTAAAGGGGACCTCTGGATACCCAGCCCAAGATTTTTCTGCTGTGCTGCTTAACACCCTGAAGGAAGTTTCCCACACGCCTGGCATATCCCTTTCCCTAAAGTGGACCATGTTGGATCTATTTATATGCGCATATTCAATGCGCATCTGGTGAGCGCGTATTTTTACTATACCTTCAAAGCACAAGCACTTGACAGGGGCGGACTGACCATTTGAAAACTCGGGCACTGCCTGAGGGCCCGGGGTCAGTAGGGGACCCCATGAGATGCCCCTGGTACCTTTTTGATAGGCTTTTTTGAGTTTGGGCAAGGACACAGGGGCCCCATGATCCCCTATTGCCCGGGGGCCCCATGAGTTGACAGTCCACCCCTGGCACTTGAATATTGCTGCGGTTGGGATCTTGTGTCACTACTATCAATATAAGAACTTTTATGAACTTTTGAATTTAAATTTTATTTATTATTCATTTATTTTATCGATTTAGCTTTCATTTGTATTTTAGCGCTGCACTCCTTGTTTACATTTTACAGATAAGACACTATTGGTCTTTCAATTTTTATGTTGATCAGAAGAGAAAAGGAACAGTAGGAGGTGTGCGGAGAAGATGATCTGTTTATTTGAAAGAAGATTCCTCTTCATGGTTCATCACCATCCTAGTCCATTAATGGGACGTAATCGCATTATGACCAAGCATTATATGTGAGGTCAAATTATTCAGGTGAGGACACAATTGTGGTGTGTGGTGGAGGAGCACAGATATTGGAATATGAAGATGTGGAATATAAAGAACACGGATATATGTTTGAGAAGAGGATGTCACAAAATTAATTATGTTTTATACATAATGGAGAGGACTCACGAACTTTAATCACTATTATATTTGTTGTATTTATTGTTGCACGTGTAATGTTTATTGATTTTTAAGAAGTGTGGCATCATTATTATTCACTTTTATACTTTGGCACATGGATATGGGTATGTGTGGATGTGAGCTGTTTTTTTATTGAATTTTTTTTGTGCTGTTCTGTTTGGCTGCTCGCAAGATTTTTGGTTATCTATCACCATGTACCCTATGCTCCTGAAAGGTGAAGCCATGTGCTGACCTATTACCTTGTACCCTATGCTCCTCACAGGTGCAGCCATTTGCTGTGTACTCTGACCTATTACCTTGTACCCTATGCTCCTCACAGGTGGAGCCATGTGCTGTGTACTCTGACCTATTACCTTGTACCCTATGCTCCTCACAGGTGGAGCCATGTGCTGTGTACTCTGACCTATTACCTTGTACCCTATGCTCCTCACAGTACCATGTGCTGTGTACTCTGACCTATTACCTTGTACCCTATGCTTCTCACAGGTGGAGCCATGTGCTGTATACTCTGGCCAGCAGCATATACCCTATGCTCCTCACAGGCAGAGCTATGTGCTGTATACTCTGGTCTATCACCATGTACCCTACACTGCTCACAGGTGGAGCTATGTGCTGTGTACTCTGGCCTAACAGCATATACCCTATGCTCCCCACAAGCACAGCCATGTGCTGTGTACTCTGGTCTATCATCATGTACCCTATGCTCCTCACAGGCGGAGCTATGTGCTGTATATTCTGGTCTATCATCATGTACCATATGCTCCTCACAGGCGGAGCTATGTGCTGTGTACTCTGGCCTAACAGCATATACCCTATGCTCCCCACAAGCACAGCCATGTGCTGTGTACTCTGGTCTATCATCATGTACCCTTTGCTCCTCACAGGCGGAGCTATGTGCTGTATAATCTGGTCTATCATCATGTACCATATGCTCCTCACAGGTGGAGCTATGTGCTGTATAATCTGGTCTATCATCATGTACCCTATGCTCCTCACAGGCACAGCCATGTGCTGGGTACTCTGGTCTATCATCATGTACCATATGCTCCTTACAGGCGGAGCTATGTGCTGTATATTCTGGTCTATCATCATATACCATATGCTCCTCACAGGCGGAGCTATGTGCTGTGTACTCTGGCCTAACAGCATATACCCTATGCTCCCCACAAGCACAGCCATGTGCTGTGTACTCTGGTCTATCATCATGTACCCTTTGCTCCTCACAAGCGGAGCTATGTGCTGTATAATCTGGTCTATCATCATGTACCCTATGCACCTCACAGGCGGAGCCATGTGCTGGGTACTCTGGTCTATCATCATGTACCCTATGCTCCTCACAGGCGGAGCTATGTGCTGCATATTCTGGTCTATTATCATGTACCCTATGCTCCTCACAGGCGGAGTTATGTGCTGTATATTCTGGTCCATCATCATGTACCCTAAGCTCCTCACAGGTGGAGCTATGTGCTGTATACTCTGGCCTATCACCATGTACCCTATGCTTCTGACAGATGGAGCTATGTGATGCAGTCAGTGGTGCTGCTGTGATGACCTTAGCTCTCTGTATCATTATACTGTGAATTAAATGAATGGAACATCCCTCGAGGGTGGGCCCACGAAGCCCTGCACTCATAGTATCTCCCTAGAGTGAGGACATCTTGTGGTGAAAAAATAGTACTTCATAGGGAAGCTTTTGATTGAAGGTTAATATTGCAATGTTATTTTTAACGTTTGCTGTGGTCCATGAAATTTTATTAAACATTTGGCTGGAGCTGGTCTTTTATTACATCATATGACTGATCAATACCATGACCCTGTCGGAGGCTTCCATACCTCTTATAGATTTTTAAGTTCCTAGAAAAAAAAAGCAAATATGATTGGGAATCTTAGCTGGAAATATTATTACGTGAAGCGTAGAGAGGAATCTGCTCGCGTCCGGAGTCTCTTAACGAATCAGCATTTTCTGCAGATTCATGTTTCCTTTGAAGTGAGGTTTCAAGGCAGACGTCACCACCGGGGTCCCTGGAGGAGTGGGAGGAGACTCCTCATTATAATCCCTCTCACTCCTAGATCATGCTCGGAAAAATCGGATAACAAGCAGACAGGACCGTCCTGATGCCCATGCAGGCGTGCGACCCTTCCTGGCTGGCTGTGCCGAGGCCGGCCGTCCCCGTAGTCACGGGCCGATGACTTACTGACGTCTATTTAATTAACAGTCAGAAAAGCAATTAATTTGGCTGGGTTATTATTAACGTTTAGTTCTTGTCCTGAAATATTAGCCGTAGTTAGTGGGTATTTCTTTCATGTTGTGCAAGAAAGAAGATAATGGGCTGTGATAGGGTTTGTGCACGGGTGCGGAGACAAATCGGCAACTGCCACTTGCCACCTGCGGTCAGCCGGAGATTCTCTCTCCAGGGAGCAATAGATCTTATGTATCTCCTATCAGGGCGCTCTCCCGAAAAATTACGTATATAGTGGCCTTTTACTAAATGTGGCACAAGCCTGTCATTATTTCTGAGTTTGTGCTTTGCCTACGGTTGTCCTTGAGGGCCCACTTAGACCTCCATGTTGGGGTAATGCACGTAACATGCTTCTCTGAGTTCGCGATGTCATTCATTTCAAATGGCGCTCCAATGCAATGTACCAGCATTTTAGTGTGCTTTTACAAAAAAAAGGGTCACATCTCATTTTCGGGCATTTTAAGGTGCCATGGTAACCCAATGAGCTACCTTAACCACTTTAATCCCTTCGCGTTGGCACCTCCCGGCCCTTTAAGGGTTTCAGAACCCGGAAGGCGGGGCGGGGTTTAGAGTCATGTGACTGCCATGACGTGCCATCACGGCAGTCACATGATCGGGAAAGGTCCCAATCGAAAGAGGAAATCGGGACCAGGGGCGGACTGACAACTCATGGGGCCCCCGGGCAATAGGGGATCATGGGGCCCCTGTGTCCTTGCCCAGACTCAAAAAAGCCTATGAAAAAGGTACCAGGGGCATCTCCTGGGGCCCCCTACTGACCCCGGGCCCTCGGGCACTGCCCGAGTTTCCAAATGGTCAGTCCGCCCTTGATCGGGACCTTTCCGTGAGTACCGGACATGTGTGCTGGGAGAGCGCAGGGCGGGTGATCTCAGCACATATGTTCTTTTTTAATAGAACGCAAATGGCGTCTAGGCCCAGACACCAGGAGGCCGCACATTTGCGTTCGGCCGACGTGAAGAGGTTAATACCAGACACTTTCACTCCTTTCCTGCCCAGACCAAAACTTTGAATGACAATTGCGCGGTCATGCGATGCTGTACTCATCTGCAATTTTTATTATTTTTGACACAAAAATAGAGCTTTCTTTTGGTTGTAGTTTACCACATCTGGGGATTTTATTTTTTGTAAAATGAAAACAAGACTAAAAATTTTGAAAAAAAAGCATTTTTCTTCATTTCTGTTCTAAAACTTTGCAATAATCTTTCTTCATACGTTTAGGCCAAAATGTATTCTGCTACATTTCTTTGGTGAAAATAACCCAAATCAGTGTTTATTATTTAGTCTGTAGGAAAGTTTATCCACAAACTATGGGATACATCTGAAAATCAATCAATCCTGATGTACTGACAGCCTATCCCATTTTTTGAGGCCCTTAAAATGCCAGGACAGTACAAATATTATTATTATTATTATTATACAGGATTTAGGAGTTTGCTCAGTGTTTTACAATATAATGGGAGACAATACAGTTCAATACAGTTCAATACAAGAGGGATTTGAGGGCCCTGCTCCTTGGAGCTTACAATCTAGGAGGGAGGGGCTAGTGGTACAAAAGGTAATAACTGTGGGGGATGGACTGGTTGGAAGAGTAGAAGATTCCATTCTTAACTGAGGGCAGGATAGGCTTCCCTGAAGAGGTTTTCAGAGATCGCCTAAAAGTGAGAAGAGTAGGCGATAGTCTGATAAATTGGGATAGAGAGTTCCAGAGGATGGAGGAAGCTCTGAAAAAGTCCTGGAGACGAGCATGGGAGGAGGAGACAAGGGAGCTAGAGAGCAGGAGGTCTTGCGAGGAATGGAGAGTACGGTTTGGGTGATATCCCCCAAATGACCATTATTTAGAAAGTAGACAGTCCTAGGTATCTAGTAAGAGGCATGGAAAGTTTTTTTAAGTTGTCATTTTTTTGTCATTATTTTTTGAAAAATAAAAATGTTTCACTGTTTTTTGTTTTTTTTTACATGCTGTCACCAATGCAGTACAGCGTCATCATATAACTGGTGTGGCGGTGATCAGAGACACTGACTGGTGACAGTATGTAAAAATAAATACATAAACATTTTTCTGTAACACACTGTGACCAGAGCAGCGGCGGACTGACTATTTGGAAACTCGGGCACTGCCTGAGAGCCCGAGGTCAGTAGGTGGCCCCATGAGATGCCCCTGGTACCTTTTTCATAGGCTTTTTGAGTTTGGGCAAGGACACAGGGGCCCCATGAGCCTATTGCCTGGGGGCCCCATGAGTTGTCAGTCCGCCCCTGAACCAGAGCAATACAGTGTTACCATAGTAACATTGTACTACTTTGGGGAAGTAATCAGTATTTTTTTACACATTGTAATTGCTTATACCAGTGAATTTCACTGGTATAAGCAATCAATTTTTCTGAATTAAATGGATTCATTCAGTGTGTATTGTTGTGATTAGCTGTGACTGACCACAGCTAATCACATGGTACAGATGGGCTGTGATTGGCTCTATCTGCACTATGTGATCACTGTGAGCAATCACAGCTAGCAACACAATTGTACACAATGAATGGCATAAATCGAAGCCATTCATTGTTTAGAATTGTCATGCGATCTGCTGTGACTGGTTACAGCGATCACATGGTACCGGCAGCGTCCCGTTACCGTGATCTGTCATTGGCTGTGTCCAGTGGCTCATGGGGTGCACACAAGGTGCGTTTCCAAGAGAGCATCATATGACGTCCACGAAAAATGAAAGTCCCACCCAGCCGTCATTTGACAATAGGCTAGGTGGGAAGTGGTTAATGCAATACAAAATGCATGTTAACATTCAAGCACATTGCCTCTTAAAAGAAAAGTATCATATTTTATGGTTCATTTCATTGAAATGTTTACAAGGCTATAAACTTATGTGCTGATAGCTTTTAACCCCTTCCCACCCAGCCCTGGCGTCCCTTTATAAAAGGGTTTTTATGCTGAGGAGGGTGGAAAGGATCAACCGATCACATGACCACTGTGATTAGCTGTCATGGTGGGCACATGATTGGGAGGCTGTCCCATCGGGTACTGATCAATAGTGGTGTCTTTAGCAGCTCGATCAAAGTGCTGAGAGCATGCAGCGAGTGCTCTCTCCACACAGAAACTCTACTGCCCATAGATATGTACACTACATTGCCAGAAGTACTGGTCGGTCGGCCTTTACCACACGCACATGAACTTTAATGGCCTCACAGTCTTAGTCCGTAGGGTTCAATATTGAGTTGGCCCCGCCCTTTGCAGCTATAACAGCTTCAACTCTTCTGGGAAGGCATCCACAAGGTTTAGGAGGGTGTCTATGGGAAGGTTTGACCATTCTTCCAGAAGTGCATTTGTGAGGTCAGGCACTGATGTCGGATGAGAAGGCCTGGCTCACAGTCGCCACACTAATTCATCCCAAAGGTGTTCTATGGGGTTGAGGTCAGGACTCTGTGCAGGACAGTCAAGTTCCTCCACCCCAAACTGGCTTTCCATGTCTTTATGGACCTTGCTTTGTGCACTGGTGTGCAGTCATGTTGGAACAGGAAGGGGCCATCCCCAAACTATTCCCACAAAGTTGGGAGCATGATATTGTCCAAAATGTCTTGGTATGCTGACGCCTTAAGAGTTCCCTTCACTGGAACTAGGGGGCCAAGTCCAACCCCTGAAATACAACCCCACACCATAATCCCCCCTCCACCAAACTTTACACTTGGCACAATGCAGTCAGGCAAGTACCGTTCTCCTGGAAACTACCAAACCCAGACATGTCCATCGGATTGCCAAATTTGGTCACTCCAGAGAACACGTCTCCACTGCTCTAGAGTCCAGTGGCGGTGTGCTTTACACCACTGCATCTGACACTTTGCATTGCACTTGGTGATGTAAGGCTTGGATGCAGCTGCTCGGCCATGGAAACCCATTCCATGAAGCTCTCTACACACTGTTGTTGTGCTAATCTGAAGGCCACATGAAGTTTGGAGGTCTTTAGCTATTGACTCTGCAGACAGTTGGTGACTTCTGTGCACTGTGCGCTTCAGCATGCGCTGACCCCGCTCTGTCATGTGACGTGGCCTACCACTTGGTGGCTGAGTTGCTGTTGTTCCCAGTTGCTCTCACTTTGTTATAATATCACTAACAGTTGAGCGTGGAATATTTAGTAGCCAGGAAATGTCACGGATGGACTTATTGCACAGGTGACAACCTATCATGGTACCACGCTTGGAGTCACTGAGCTCCTGAGAGCGACCCATTCTTTCACAAATGTTTGTAGAAGCAGTCTGCATGCCTAGGGGCTTGATTGTATACACCTGTGGCCATGGAGGTGATTGGAACACCTGAATCACATGATTTGGAGGGCGGGCCCAATACATTTGGCAATATATTGCATGTGCAGCAGGTGAGTGTTAAAGCTCACCCTCCTTGCTGATGCACATATGCGTTGCATCGGCAGCAAGAAGTTGAATACATGGGTCGATTTTCTAACGATTTTGCCTAAGAATAATTGGTCGATTTTCGCTCTGTGAGTGGGGCAATGGCACCGGACTATTTTTGTGGTTCCTCCCCATTTCGTTTATGGGGCATGCTGGAAAATTTGTGAAAAACTGCTGATTTTCTAAATCATTGGTGGCACCATCGGATTACAAAATGAACAATGTTTTCGATTTTCGATTGAAAAATCGTTCAGAATTCGACCCATGTATGGTCTGCTTAAAGTGGTAAAACACATGGTTAGGCCACGTTTTTACTGTCCCTCCCCCCAGCTGCCCCTACTTAGTGTGCACATGACATGACTGCGATACTTTGCTTGGCGACTGTTGCAAAAAAAAAATATTCTCCCCATTGCATGTTGCATTCAGCAGGCAGTACCACTGCTGATTGTGACCCATTCAAGTGAATGGGGCCTGGCTGCAATCATGTGCAATCCATTGTGCAATATGGTTGTAGCACATGGTGCTGCTTTTTGGGAGTGAAAGTGCTGCTTCCTCACTGCCTGTCAAACACCTCTGAAAAGTGTTGCAACCTCAGATCGCTTTTCAAAGGTACGACTGTGACAGCTAGTAGTACACATAAATATAGCCTTAGGGCCTTTTATCATTATTATTATTACTATACAGAATTTATATAGCGCCTACAGTTTGTACAGCACTTTACAAAAGTGGGGACTGTTACAATATATATATTCCTCAATAGCCACAAAGTATATAATATACATCAACTTTGTGTGTACCAAATGCTTTTCCAAACCCAGATATTACCTGGCAAAGGTAGTGGTGACATCACCACTGTGCTAGATATATAGACTGTGCAAAGAGCAGAGCTGTGTAGTAGGGCCCCAGCAAGCCCCACCCACTACAAGCTGCTATCAGAAAACTACAGGAGGGGGTGAAGACAAAACCAGTCACCCTGTACAAGGAGAGAGAGCACAGCTGTGGGAGGAGCCCACCAGACTCCACCCACTACAGGCTACCTGTAGATAACTACAGGAGGGGGCGGAGACAAGACCAGTCACCCTGCACAAGGAGAGAGAGCACAGCTGTGGGAGGAGCCCACCAGACTCCACCCACTACAGGCTACCTGTAGATAACTACAGGAGGGGGCGGAGACAA